CCACCAGACATCCCAACTAGGGCGCTGGGGAATCCTGGAGGGCATTACTGCTGGGGAGACAAGGCATCACTGCCTGGGCATCCTCTCTGAGGCACTGGGATGTCCTTGTAGACATCCTCACCAGGGTACTCGAGCACTCTGGTCTGGGCGTTCTTCTGGGGCACTAGGCTATCCAAACCAGCACCCATGCTGGGGTGCTGCAGTGTCCCTGCCCAGGCTCCTTACTAACATGAGGCCATCCTTGCCTGGGGGCTCTCCTGCGGCACAGGGACAGCTCTGCCTGAGCATCCCTTGGGGGCAGCCCAGCCAGTGCCCACATGGGGACACCACGGGTGTCATAGCCAGGGTTTTTCATGGCCATTGAGTGTCCCTGCTGCTCGCTGGGGACATTATGGCACAGGCTCAGGGCTCCTCTGCCTGGGGTGTCCTCCCAGGCGTCACTGCCTTCAGTTCCATGAGTCCTGGGAAGATAGAGATGGGCCCTCACAGACACATCCGAAGGGATCTGTCCTTGTTCAGGGTCCTTTCACCTTGAAGATGGTTTTGGATTTGTGCTGGTGCCTTCCTCATGAGAAGGGATGTTTCTGCATCAAAATCCTTCAGATGCAGTGGTGAAATTGTGGGATGTTTTGGGTTTTTTTCTATGTTCAAGAGATCCTCTCCTGTGAAGTTATTTGGTTTTTGGTGGTTTGTTTGGGTTTTTTTTTGTATAATGGCACCCACACAATCCAATACACATATTCTAGAGAGCTCCCACCTGCTTGTCTATTATGACTCCCTTGGTTTTCTGCCCAAAGCCTGGTTCCTGGCACCCACTCTTCTGGGTCTGGCTGAAATGTGCAGGTAAAAATCACTTCTAGTGGCAGCGTGACAGTAGTGTGCCAATGCCAGGAAGATTACTTGTAAATAAGGCAGTTAAATAACCTGTAGCCTCCAGGTTTGTGGGCGTCTAATTTGTTTTGGATTCTCTGAGCCTACCCTGGAAACACAGCCCTGCTCCAGAGGCGGCAAGCCAGAGGAGATCAAAGAATAAAAATCTCATGACTCAGTCCCTGCAGGACTCACCCGTTGGGACAGGATGTCTTCCAAAACATGGCAGGGAAGACTTGTCCTCTCCTGACATCGTGGTAGTGTGGAGCAAAGCAGCTCCAATGTGCGGTGCTGCTGTCGGGGTGTTTGCTGCAGGGAAGATGCTTGGACCCTGGCGAGGCTCCTCTGCGTGGGAAAGCCCCAGAACAGCTCCTCTGAGCTACTCTCTCCCAGAATCTGCGTTCCCAGCCAAGTGCCCAGAACTGCATGGAGGCCTTGGGACTCTTCATGCCCCATGTGTTATTCTTGCTACAACTGCCATTTATTTTCCATAAAAGAAACAGGCTAATTTAATAGGAACACAACAATACGTGGCTGTTAATGCTCTAAGATTCATCTGCAAACAAATTTTTGGGGGTATCTTCGTCCAGGATACTGTCTTCCCAGATGGAGAGGTGTGAGATTTCATGGACGAGCCAGAGCAAAGATCAGCTGCTCCACTGGCTCCAGATTGCAAAGGCTGGAGGCCACAAGGAGTGCTGGGTGAGGTGTTTGGGCAGCCCAGCACGGGTCTGGCTGTGGTTGCTGCTTCAGGTGTCCAAGGCAGAAGGGCTCCAGACTGCCTGTATGAAGGAGAGTTCTAGAGGTGGGCCCTCCTTGGAGTAAAACCATTTTAAAACTTTGGTGGGCAAAGCACCAGGCTGCAGGGCTGCTCCTTGGGCTACGTGGCTGGGACCCCCCTGGGGCTCCAGGTGCTCCCCTCTGACCCACCCAGCACTGCTCCTGGTGAACCTGCGACACCTCTGATGACAGGCAGAAACCCTTCCTCTGACTTCCCCCTTTTCCCTGAGGCTCAGGTCAGGCAGAGAGGGTTAGAGAGAGAAGAAAATGCTGATATTTCAGAATGAATCCCTGTTCCTTGGGGCAGGGGGAAGAACTTGTCCCTCCTGTGCCTCCATTCCCCTGTGCCTACTGCCAGGGATATGTGAGAACCTTCCAGAAAGACTGCTTCAGGGACAACAGAACCACGTGTCCCCCATAAGGCACCGCAGTACAACAACGCATTTCTGCCAGATGTCGGAAATAATCCTTTCTAAGCTTGAAGGCTGGGAATGTTTGCAGGGTTCCCTTTTCTTTGCCCACACCACAAAACTTCAGTGAAGGAAAGTGGGTTTGGGTGGCATAGCTCACACTTTGTCACTTGTCATTGGTGTGGCTGCCTGGAAAAATACGGATGGAACTTGGCTCCCAAACCTTAGTTTGGTCTTAATTCTCACTAGTTGAGATTTTAAGTTGCAGCAACTGCTGTAACAATCAGATTTGTGAAGCCGATGAAATCTGAATTCATAGATGCATAACCTGAAGCCCGGTACTGGAGAGGACCTGGCCTTTGACTCAGTGGCCCCATCTGCACGAACAGCTCCAAGCGCTTCTGAGCTCCCAGACCACCTGTGTCCCCTTCCAACCGGGATGTGATGTGAGGGCACACGGGAGCGGGTCCAGCTTTGCCTTCAGGCCAAGGGCCGATGAGCAGCCCTTCTCCTCGGAGACACCGGCAGGTCTGCAGAGCCCGGCACCCTTGGAGCTGCTCCGTGCCAGGTCAGGAAAGCACGGGGCACCTATTCAGTCCCTCCAAGAAGAGCATTTATCTGGATAACACTGAGGCACGCCATCCATCTGGGAGCAGTCATCCTGTGAACAGCTCTTCAAGGACAGCCCAGGTACCGGCTGTCTCTCCATTTTAACAATCCTTTGCTCCGCTGATGGGGTGCTGCCCTGGGAGTGAGGAGGAAAAGGGCAATCCCAGAGCTGAGCAGGGAGAGATTCCAAGAGGGCAACCTTGCACTGCTTCAGGGAGCACCAGGGGTCGGGGCCAGCGATGGAGAAAAGCAAATCCAGGGTGATGTGGCCATGGCCCCTCTCGCACCGACTCTGCTCTCGAGGTGCAGAACAGACCAGGGGAGGAGTATTCCCTTCCCTTGCCTTCACCAGAAAACTCCCTGTTGCTGAGGAGGTGCCGGTGCTCTGGCTGGCAGCACCTGGCCGTCCCTGCCTGAGGAATGGTTTTGCTGCTGAGCTACAGTTTGGATGGCTCTTGGAGTTGAAGATCAAGCAGGTGAAAGCCTTCTCCTTCCAGCTATTTCTACGAGAGACTCCTGAAACCTCCGAGCTGTGCGCTCACCTCTCGAGAAAAGGGCCAGGGATGAAGTTCTCTAAATGCAGCTGTCGCTCTTCTCTGTGTATCTCTCCTTTAGTGGGGGACACTTCCTAAATCTTTAAACATCTTCATGAAGGCACCTTTAATCTTGCTGCTGAAATGAAGAGCTTCACAAGCTCAAAAACCAGGGCTGAGGGGCAAAGCCATGACGGTTTATAGACGACCAGGAGAAATTTCTCTTCCCTTGCCTGCAGCGCAGCCGGAGCAGCCCCTCGGGACAGCGGCTGAAACACAGGCTGCGAGGGGCTGGCTCGCTGCTCTGCGATGTCTTTTAAACCCGAGTTGACGGCCCCCGCGCCCTGGGCATTTGCTACGGCAGCTGCCATCTTCGTTTTTCCTGGCCCTTTTGGCAGGCGAAGGGCTCCCACCTGCTGCCCTGGCAGCAGCGCTGGTCCCGGCTCCGGCAGCTGCCTGGTGCCATCTCCTGGTTCAACACCTCCGGAGAAACCCTATTTCTGTCCTGCCATTGATCTTCCGCTAGAAAGGAAAAGGAAAACCCCAGGATTAATTTTTAGCAGGATATTTCTGTGTGGTTTTTTTTTTCGGGGGGAAGGGTGAAAGTGCCGGTTGGTGCAGCCTCCCGCTTTTTTTGTGTCTCTGCAGGACAGCAGCTCGCCGCGTTTCGCACCCACGATGGCCAAGCCTACGTGGTCGACGCTTACTGCCCTCACCTCGGGGCCAACCTCGGCGCCGGCGGGCGCGTCGTGGGCAATTGCATCGAGTGCCCCTTTCATGGCTGGCTGTTTCGAGGGGAAGACGGAAAATGCAGCCACATCCCGTACGCTGCTAAAGGTAAACATCCCCCAGACCGGCAGAAAGGGCAGTGCCCCGCGTGTCCTCATTAGAAGCTACTTCATTAGGGAAAAGTGGTCTTTATAAGAACTTGCCCTCCCTGCTGCTCCCCTATTTCATGCAGCACCCCAATTTTCCTCCTGGGTTGTCTGAGTTGGGGCATAACATTCTAACGCCCTTTCCTATGTGAGATGACAATGGACTTCAGTTAAATAACCACCCTTCTTGATTTTGATAGTCCTACAACTCCTGCATTCAGCAAGGAGGGTATAAAGTGAGATTTTTTTAACTCTGAGTCATCCATTGTGAAGGCAGGGATGGATCCCAGAGAGCTCTTGGCTTTCAGAAATGTTTCTGTTCTCCATAGTGACAGCTTATGCCATGTCAGTGCTTAAATCTGTCGCATTAGCATGACAGAATAGGCTCTCAATTGTAATTCTTTCTCCTTTTAAGGCTTGAAGGGAACTTTTGGTTGGAATCCAGGAAAGCTCTTTGCATACACCTACCTTTTATATGCGGTTTGTGCTGTGTGGGAAGAATATCTTAGTTAAAGTTCACGTGTGACAATTAATTGATTTGGCCGTACCGATTAGTTTAAATCACCAATCTGAGATGCGGCTGAAACCAGCAAACAGACTTACCATGAATTTCACTTTGGCTTGTGCTTCTTCATTATTTTCCTAAGAAGTTCAGCTTTCCCTGAGTGGGATTGATTGGGGTTGCAGAGAAAACACTGGTGAGCAGCAAAAGACAGTCTTTCTACTAAACAGACTATTCTATTTTTCCTAAAATGAAAGGAACATTCCATCTATATGGGATAAGATAATCAATTTCTAGATCTCTCAGAACAGCAATTATTTTTTAATTATTTTTTTAGGTGTTATTTCAGGAAAGACGATTAGAACTGTATTTTTTTTCCCCCCATACATACTCAGTCAAGAGCTGCATTCAAATGGAAATTCGGTTCCAAGTAACGAGCCATGATGTGTTTTAGCACAAATGGAGGATGAATGTTCTGGACATACGCAAACACTTGCCAAGATGCGTTGTCTCATCTAAAAAAACCAGTGTTCAGAGTCACTGTTATCCATCATTATAAAAAAAAAACCCGGAAAGCAGCTGCCCTGCTCCCATACAGCCCAAACGGGTCGAGGTGATTTAAAAGCCGTGTGTGCTCATGCAGGTCACTGATGGAGAGGGGTTTTGGAGAGCCCGCACGGGCAGCTCCTCAGCACCGGGCTCTGCCAGGGACCGACAGCCAAGCAGAGCCGCAGAGCCCAGCGTGGTGTGGGACGGAGCTTGGAGATCAAGTGGGGTGAGGAGCAGCCGAGGGAGCTGGGGCTGTTCAGCCGGAGAAGAGGAGGCTGAGGGGACACCTCATGGCTCTGCACAACTCCCTGAGAGGAGGCTGTAGCCTGTGGGCTTGGTCTCTTCTCCCTTGTTGTGACAGGACAAGAGGCCTCAAGTTGCACCAGGGGAGGTTTAGATTGGGCGTTAGGAAGAAAATTCTTCACCAAAAGCACTGGAAGAGGCTGCCCAGGGCAGTGGTGGAGTCCCCATCCCCGGAGGGATTTAAAAGCCATGTAGATGTGGTGCTCAGGGACATGGGTTAGGGCTGGGTTAATGCTTGGACTCAGTGGTCTTAAAGGTTTTTTCCAGCCTAAATGATTCTCTAACTCTATGTGTGCAAAGGGGCAAATGAAGCCATTTTTAAAATTCAGTGAGATGCATTCCACCCAAAGCACCAGATTTTTTTCAATCAGGAATCACAGTGATGGTGTCATCCTGCCCCCTCTCATATTCATTGACTAAAGAAAAAACTTAATTTCTTGTATTATTTCACCTCCCACATGACCGTGCAAGGCTGAATAATGAGGAAGTGCTATCCCCTGTGCTTGTTTGCAAATTAGGAAAAAAAAAAATAAATAATTGTGAAGGCAAAAGCCCTCCAACCTGGTAAAAGCTACATTTTCTGACAGCTGGGTAAATATAAATGCCAAAAAATCTATTTCACTGGAAAGACTGCAGATATATTCTTAAAACAACACATGATACGGCAGCATTGTAACAGAGAATGGCTTGAACCTGAGCAGTGGAGATGGCTTTTTCTCACTGCACATCTATAACTAAAAGCATCTCCTTGAAGCTCGAGGAGGGTCCAGTGCTACAGCAGACATTTACATATTTGAAGAGTTTTAAGAGTAGAAAAGTAGCAGCCACATTTATCCCTTAAAAACTTCACACAAAACACCCAGCTGATATAAAACTAATTTAACCAAACTCTGTTCTGTGAACTTCACAAGCTGCTCTCCTCCTTCAGCAGCCTGAGAGCTGGGAAGGTGTCACCAGAGGGTCCGTGTCCCGAATATCTCCCATCAAAAATACAAGCCCTGGATCAGGGCGAGGGGACCCTTTGCGTCTCTGAGGCTTTTAACCCATTCCTTCCCGTCCCCTGCAGTGCCAGATTTCGCGAGGGTGCGGACCTGGCCGTGCTGCGAGGTGAACGGGATGCTGCTGCTCTGGTACCACTGCGAAGGGCTCGATCCGACGTGGGCAGTGCCCGAGCAGCGCGAGATCGTCACCCGGGAGTGGGTGTTCCGTGGCCAGACAGAGCACCTGGTGGATGCACACATCCAGGTGAGGAACCCGCTCTCTCCTCAGGGCAACTCCTACTAGGTCCTCTCCTGTAGTCCAGTTCAGAGGCGTCTCCTCCCAGTTAATCCATTTAGGGATGTGCTCTGCATCATCGCTGCTGCTGGCAGAGCTCAGACCTAGAAATGCGTGGCTCTGCGCCGTGCACCGAGAATGTGGCAAATGTTCCCCGAGTGCAGCTCGTGAGCTTCTCGAGCAGAGAACAGATGTTCTGGGTACTTAAAAGGAATCTGTTAATTTGCTTTGACTTGCAACTGATGTAATTGAAAAAAAAAAAAAAAGATTCTCTAAGAATTGCAGCACTTAGTGTCAGGAGGCTTTTCAACCCATCCGTCACCGAAATGGAAATGCGCAATTATTCTGCCGTTAGTCTTCATCATCACCATCACACGCTGACAAGTGCGCCACGGAGAACAAAATAGCTGTTGTCTCCATCGCCGCTCGGTGGAAATAAGTCTGGGAAAGGGCACATGTTTGGTGACACTAAAGAGAAGGGATGTGGCCGTGGTCCTCAAAGGTGGCCGGGGCAGCTACGGAGCGAAGGGATGCAGCAGCAGTTTTGAAACTGGGTGATCTCTGGAGGTCCTTGGGAGGTTTCTCTGTGCTTTCTGCTGAGCACAACACTTCTGTTTGTAAAAAACAGTGACAAAAATGACCCTTAATATAGAGTGCGCTTCTCTCCAGCAGTGCCCTCCTGCTGACTAAATTGTGGCTGAGTGGGTTAGAAGGGAAATGGAAAATTATTAGGATAAATGAAGATGCATGAGACAGGAGATGCAGCTCTGGGAGCATGCAGTGAAGTTGTGAGATTTCGGGAGATTGATGGCAGAGTCATATTTATTTCATGTCTGCTTTCTGGTGGTGAGCCACGTGTCTGCAGTGGGGCCAGTCTGTGCTTCTTGTCAAGCCAGTGGAAAGTCGGTGTATTTTAGCAGGTAAAACTTCACAAAAAGTGATATATTGTGGGCAGGCTGGTGTGGTTTAAATGTTTCAAATTTATGAAAACTAACCTAGGAGCGCAAGCACAAAAACTTTATTCCTTACAGTTGTTGCAGGCTCAAAGGAAGGACTTAGCTGGAGTCTCAGCTTATGCAGCTGCAAACTCCTTTGAGCTTTAAAATGAACTCTGAATTTTCTGAGCTTCGTGTTTCAGTTGTTCTTAAACACTAGTCAAGAACTGGCTCCAGGTCAGTCCGTGCTGAGGCCTCTTCCTCCACACCCTCAGCTGCCTCTCTCATGTACCCATGAGCATCTCAGCTGTGCTCGGGGTGGGGGGTCCGGGCTGTGCTGCCGTCACGCACCCGGTGCCATTGCAATCCTGCCATGAGGTGCAGGCAGCTTGTGCCCAAGGCAGCTCTTGCCAACAGCAAATTGTTCCCCAACGGCAGGAAATCCCCGAGAACGCAGCTGACATGGCTCACCTGGCTTTTCTCCACGGACCGGCTATTCTGGGTGGATCCGACCTGAGATACACGAGGTCCAAACTGTGGGATTTTATGAAGCACACCTGGAAGGTAAGACCCTAGTTGCCCCCTTAACTGTGAGGAGGTCAAAGTCTTTGGAACCAGGCCCCCTTTCTGCTGCAAAGCATCAGTCCCGAGCCTCCCACCTCTTCTCACATCCCCCCACCTTCAGGTCATAGAATCATAAAGGTTGGAAAGGACTTTAAGATCATCAAGTCCATCCTACAGCCCTACACCACCCTAACACCAAACCACCTCCTGAAGTGCCACATCCAGCCATTTTTTAAACACGTCCAGGGATGGGGACTCCACCACCTCCCTCGGCAACCCATTGCAGTGCTTCACCACCCTTTCAGTGAAGAAGGTTTTCCTAATATCTAATCTGAACTTCCCCTGGTACAACTTGGACCCATTCCCTCTTGCCCTCTCGCTCTTCACTAGGGAGAAGAGGTCCAATCTCTCCCTCCGTGTCTCTGAGGGTTTTAGCTGCACTCCCTCACCTATGCTCATCTCTAGATGGTCTTCACAGCCAGCCCTTATCACCATCCTGCTGCTGCCGCCTCCCCTCAGCCTGAGCTGCCCTTCTCTCCAGCTGACCAGATCCTTCTCCATCCCTCCAGGCGGAGTGGCAGCCGGAGCCGCCGCCCGATGAGCATTGCTCCCGCATGCTGGTTCAGCACACCGCAACCATCTTTGGGAAACACTTCTCCTTGTTGGATTTGACGGTTACAGCCCGCCAGGTACGTCCCACCAGTGCGCCGAGCTGAAGGGCTTTGTCACCCGAAAGGCTGAGTGAGTCCTTGCCCACCCAGCCCAGCGTGGCCTTTCCTGCCAAGTGCTTCAGACACGAGTCAAAAACCACGTGCGAGTGTTGGGGCTGGGCAGAACAGAGAAAAGGGAAGGCTCCTAAAGAGTGCTGGAGAATAAAAAAAAAAAAAGCTGGTAGCTGAGCAGACACTGGTGACAATCCCGAGGGGCCTTCATGCCCCCTTGTCACATCACTTTATGGCACAATGGCCGTTTTCAGTCCATGGTGGACAAACTTCAGAATGGCAAACAATCAGCTATAGCGTATCTTGTAGCCCGACATCACCCCGAACGATAACAAAATAGCTGCCACAGACTGAGAGAGAGTTGTGGGAAAATGGAAATAATGCCACAAATCAATGGGAACTAGATCTCCTCCTCACTAGTTTTGGTTATGGGGGTTTTTTTTGCCTGATAAAACTAGCAACTTTGTTCTAGTACATTTTTGAAGACCTATTCCTGTACTAAAAATTCAAGACCATAGCGAAACAAGTCAGGGTACAAAACTTTGATAAGGGATCGATCTTGGTGCAGTCAGGGAATTATCACAAAGTGGATGCTGATTGTATCTGCTTTCAGTTCTTAGATCCGTGCTATTCAGCACTGATTTCGATGGACAGGTGAAAAAAAGGCATTGAAACAACCTTACAAAGAGTTTGTACCCAACCACACGTTTAAAGGAGTAGTAAAGAAAGTAGCCAGAACCCCCAGCAGGCTCCGCACTGCTTCAAAGAACCGGCACGATCATTCGTGCAGCTGCGTGTCTGGACTCAGCGTCAAAGAGCACAGAACAAGTATGTCAAGTCATGCAAGATAAAAGGCTGAACCTGATTTCAGCTAAAACCTAATGTCACTGTTGTAGCTGCAAACGAGAAAGCCAGAGCAGGAGTAGGGATGTTGTATCACCTCCGCATTGTATTGCAATTGCTGCTGAGACCAGAGCCCAGCACCGGTGTCAACAAGCCAACGAGGCTGTTCATGACCCGAAGGTAATTCTGTGATGAACAACAAGACCAAGTGAAAATTTGAGAGCGTTTCCTAGAAGACAAGATATTAAACTCTTTTGGGGGACCATTAGATCACTGTAAAGCCTCACGAATTCCCGTGGGCCCACAGCAAAGCCCTGATGGTCCCAGGCCATACGGGCTGCGAGGATCTCCCCTGGCCTGGGGAGCCTGCACAGTTGGCAAAAATCTGTGACTCGTGGCCCCGAGGTGTAGCTTGACTTTGTGCCTGTTGTTGGATGGGAAGACAGACTGAAGGGGGACTTGAGGACAATCCAGGAGACACCTCAAGCAGCTCTCAAGCTGTTGGAGTTGCTGTACTAGAGGACAGGACCACTGGCGACTTTTCCCTGAGGGTGCTCTGTTCCTCTGCAGGTGGGGCCAGGGCTGGTTTTCCTGATCTTCAAACACGCTTTCCTGGGCCATGGGATCATCCTGCAGACGGTGACTCCCCTGGAGCCTCTCCTGCAGAATGTTGTTCACAAAATCTACTACCAGAAGAACATGCCGGCCATAATCCCCAAGTTCATCCTGAGAGCAGAGTGCATACAGGTAAGGCCTCTGAAGAAGTGCAGCCAAAGATGGTCCCCTGGAGCCTGGGGACTAGGGGAGAAGGAAGAGCTCAGATACACGTGGGACGAATGCACTCGTGGGTGAGATTCTTTCAGTGCTTGGTAAGATCTTTAATTTTTAGTAACCCAAAAGACTACCCTGAGTTTAGTAAAGAGGGTCCCTGGAGTGCGTCGTGGCTGAGAGGTGCCAGAGGTGCCATCCCGCTGCTGTGGATGGGCAACAGGGAACAAGGATTGGGCAACTTCTCCCGAGCTGCAGGAAGGCTCTGAGGGAACTGATAACGGCATCCAGATTCCCTGCATCCCAGGCTGGTGCCTTAAGTTCATCACCCTGTCACCTCTTTTGGTGAGATCTGTGCCAAGAAACCTTCCTGTTGTTAAATTATCATGAGATCTGGCAACTCTTGCCCCTCTTGACAGAGGTTTTCCAGGCCGTTAGAGCAGGGATTCATGGAAGAAGTGAAATGTCTCCCTGGAATTCTCCAGTTGGCACAAGACTATTGCCAAATTCGGGTCAAGCATGGCCTTGAAGGCCTTCTCCTTTGTAGAAGGTCCCCATTTCTCCAGCTCTTTGGGTGACCTGTTCCATTATTGCTCTACCCACATTGGTTTTTATTTTTAATAATATCTATATTGACTTTCTCAACCTGCCATCTGTAGCTGTTACTCCTTGTTACACCAGCCAGTACTGCCAAGAAGAATCTCTCTCCGTCATCACTGTAGCTCCCTTTCAGGCAGTCAGAAGAGTTCATGTCATCCCCTCTAGGAAATTTCTATTTGATAGTCTAATTCAGCTTTCCTGTATGATTCAAGCTCAAGCCACACCAGCCATTGGGGAGAAATGCTAAAAATCAAAACCTAGTGTGCAGGTAGCTCGCACAAACCTGCTGGCCCAGCCTCCCCACCTGAATGAGACTGTCCTTCTCCCCCCAGTTTGAGCGTGATGTAACCATCTGGAATAACAAACAGTACCTGCCCAAGCCGCTGCTGGTCAGAGAGGACTCCAGCATCCAAAAGCACCGGCGCTGGTACGCCCAGTTCTACAGCGAGAAGAGCAAGAGGGTCCCAGCACGGGAGGGTCTGGACTGGTGAGGACCTTGCTGCCCACTGCAGAAGGTGCCAGAGGCTCTCAGGTGGCTCCTGCCCGCCCTGGCTGGCCAGGCAGCATCAATATAACAAATACTGGCACAGCCTGAGCCCTGGTGATCCTCTCTTGCTTTCTGTGTCCAGGGCACCAAAGCTCAAAGCGTAACACGCTTGCTCTTGTACCTGTGCTGCAACGTACAAGCTGAGCGTGAACTTGAGATTGCCAGAACTGCCTTGAAAGTGCCCTCACCTCTCAGTGCTGCCATGATTTTGAGTAGATGTATGAAAAGCTTTTCACGTGGTCTTTTATTGCCTGAAGAGTCCTCTCCCAGCCAGGCCTGCTGTTGCTTCTGCACCACCTCCTTGGCTGGGGCAGGCTTCAGCTCTCCTGGGGACCCTTGGCCGATGGCTGCGTGGCATCAGAGGTGTGATTGCAAAGCCCACGGACATATGCTGTCCCCCTTCTCTCCGGCAGCAGGCAGGGCACAGTGGGTTTTAGCTGCCCACCATGTCGGTACCATACCTGTGGGCTTCCTCGAGCCGCCTCAGCCCTTGCACGAGTCGATTCCTTAGGGAGCTCTAGTGCACCTGGCTGAGAAGAAGAGAGACTGTCTTGGTGACTAAATCACTTTGACAATGACTCTGCAGCTGAAGGATGTGAGTAAGATCCTGCTTTGGTAGCCCCTGGATTCCAGCAAAACCTTGGGCTGTAAAATGTTGTCTCAGGGCAAGCCCAGAGGTATCACCTGCCGGGACCAGAAATGAAGTTGACACATGGAGACTCGGCTGCAAATCTGATGAAATCTGGTCTGGGTTCTCCTGTGCTTTGTGCCTACGGGCTCTATAACAAAGGGCTAAATTCTGCCTTGCTGCACACCCCAGAGAAACCTGTGATCGCCACAGGCAGAGCTTGCCTTGTACAGCTCGCAGGACTCTGGCAGTTACTCTGTGCCAAGACCCAGCAAGAGTCAAAAGCTCAAATGCAGGAGCTTTCCAAGGAGGCTGGTAGCTGCCCATCTCACGTGTGCGCTAGCCTGTGCCTTGTGACGTCTGCACTCTGCTGAGGTTTCTGGTTCCTCCTTTCCCACTGACCCAAAGCAGGGCTGGGAGCAGGAACACGCCAGTGTAGAGTTCACCACCCACCCTGGCAGCTCCCCAGAAAACCATGTGCAAGCTCTGACTTTGCTGTTCACATCTGGCTGTTGCACTGGCAGTGTTTCACTATTAAATTTTTTTTTTTAAAAACCTGATCTCGTTCACAGTTTGTTGTTCTCCATTGCTTTGTGGGGTGTTCTGGCACGGGAGAAGTGATTCTGCAGCTGGGCTGTGCTGCCCCGCGTCAGGAGCCACAGGGAATATCCACCAAGGAACTTGTGGAGATAGAAGGGATTCGACAAGGAGCACTGCCCAGCTCAACAGCCTGAGCCTGAGCACCAACACATCTTAGTGGCCCTGACCAGCCTCCCCTGGGCTGTTCAGCCACTCCCTGATAATGGCCCAGGAGCCCCGTTTGAGCTCAGCCCTGGACCTTCAGTCCCTGCCTGAGCTACGCTGCAGGGTCTCCAGCGTACCCAACCCTGCAGGGTCTCTCCCATCACCACGGGAGATCACCTTAGGGACTGCTGGGCTGGTCTGACTCTACATACCCAACCCTGAGCTGCAGATGGACTTCCCAGCTTGCCCTCAGACCTGTTTTCACCATGAGCTTGCCTGATCTGAACTCTTAGTTGAGCCTGGCCATGACCAGGGCAGGGGGACCCCCTCCTTGGCTCCCAGTACCCCCTTCCTTAGGGAGCAGCCACCTCTGCAGTGCTGGGTGATGGAGAAGCAGCAAGAGGCAGAAATCACAACCACCAGGGTGGAGATGTGACACGACACCGGGTGTTCACCCACACATTCCAAGGGGGCACACGGCCACCATGCACCCCCACAGCGGTCCTGTGACACACCTGGGCTGTTGCTCCCCGCTCCTGTGTTCCCACATACAGGATATCAGGATGAACAAAACTCCGAGGAAGGCAAAGGGTCAAAGATCAGACCAGAGATGGTGGCTCAAATTAGCTTTGCTGGATTAATGAGTCCTTCTGAAACTGGAGGAAACCACGGGATGCCTCCAGCAGAGCCTGAATTCTGAGCTACCATTTCCTTTATTATTAAGTTAAAGTAGTTTTGCCCTGTTAAAGCAGAAATTAGAGAATTGGCAAATAAGATGGGATTACCTTAAGCCTCTTATGCTTCCATTTGCAGTCTTATTTATCCATTTAAATGGGTCTAGCAAAAAGGACAATTTAGTGCTGGGAGACACTGGCCGGCTAGAGAGCACTAACCCCCAGCCTTCGATGCCTTTTGGCTATAATGTTACGCACTGCACCTATTTTCAAACAAAACCTCTTGTTTGGGACGTGGAGGCATCTCATCGCTTACCAAAATCCCTTTTACATCAAATCTACTGCAAGGCTGCAGCCATTCTTATCACATTTATATTCTGATAGTTGTATTCAGTGTTGTGGCTTATCTTTACACTTGACCACTACCCAAGAGCATTTATCCAACTGCCAGACCTATCGTCATTCCATGTCTTTGGCTTTTCTTGTTTCCCAACAAATTCACTGCAAATTTCCTAATTCTGTTGCTTTTTTTGGGTGTGAGTGGGTGGTGGGAACAAGGTTAGAAAAGCCCAAAGGAAATCAAAACCAGACAACAAAAAAGATCCATGAAGGGGGACGGACAACGTACCTGGATTTTCCAGCCTGGTCTCCTCCTTTGAACCCTGGTCTATGTACTTGTTCCACCTGGGACAATTCTCCGGTGGTTTCTGGTTCCTTTGGAGGTGGGTCTTGGAGCTCCAGAGAGCATCGAGGCTGTGTTCCCGCATGCGAAACTGCCCGTGATGGCCACTAAACCGCGCGCCTTTGTGACCCGTGAGACACTCGGATGCAGGTCAAGACTGATGGAGCCTCTAAGCGAAGATTTTGGGACCCTCTCCTATTCTGGCTGCCACCACAAACAGCTGCCAGGGGCTTTGGTGGAAAGGAGTGAGCCTGCTCAACGCCCAAATAAATGCCCTGTCTGTTCTGGGGGGAAAGGAGGATCTGCTGACAAAAGTGAAAACCTCTGACCACGCTGGGCAGAAACGGGGCACGTGTTGAGTTGAGGCCATCTCGCCCAGCAGCAGCTGGTGCTGCTTTACACCACAAAAGCTGCCTGAGCTGTCCTGGTGGCACAAATACAAATGCTGGGCCACAACACACCGCGCACCCCTCTCGTTGGCCCAGTGGAGCCGGTTCACTTTCTGCTACGTACGAAGGTCTCCCTGCGAGAGAGGGGGGGGGTTCACTGCACGGGCAACCAAGCATGAGACAGAAGATGCTCTGGACGATGCTTTAGGGAGCTTCGGACATAGGAGGGATGCAGGGAGAAGCTCCCTGCAGAGTTTGACGGCTGCTGAGGTCCCTCCAAGAGACCACTGCCGAGACCGAGGTCACTTTAATGGATGTTTCCCCTTCTTCCCCTGGGTGATGTCCCACACACGTGCTTGAGAAATAGAAAAACCCCAGACACTTGTTTTGTTTTTTTTTCCTAAAGGTTGTTTTATTGTAAAACCATAAATACAACACTGACATGAAAATCCTCAAGCAACGGATGCTTTCTTACAGTTACAGTTTGTCTTCTGCCTTGGCATCAACTCTGAAAAGAATGTTGCAGAAACATGTCTCTAAGAAATCTCCAAATAACCGAGCTCTGGCCGGGAGTGCTCAGCTTGTTTGGAAGCTAAGTGGAACTATTCCTCCTCTCTTGTGGAATATTTCCATTCAGACAGCAACAGACTTGTAAAAACAGCAACATTTAAACACCTTGATTTTTTTTTTCTTTAATAATCCTTTTCATTTGACGTCAGTCTAAGTTTCAAACAGCACTGAATTTATTTAGCTGTAAAAAAAAAAAACAAAAACCAAAACCAAACCAAACCAAAATAAAATCCTAAAAAGAAAAAAAAAAATCAGAAGAACTTGAGTTGGCCTCAAGCGTTCATATATCACAATGAAAATCAGCAACTCAACCCCGTGCAATATTGCTCTCTATTGAGTCATTCGATCCACACCAACAATACATGAGACTTCAAACAGGTTTTGTTTTGTTTATTAACACAGCAAGTGTGACATTAGATAACCTTTTAAATACAGTACATGGTACAGCGCGGGGCCAGCTGCCCGCACTTTTCTCCATTATGAAGACAAAGCCAGCGGTGGCGGTTTATAAAAATATTGTGTTGCTACAAAAGTATAAATTAATGCTACCGGTATTAAGAAATATTAAACACATAAAACTTATAAGGATTAAGAAAAATATTCATTAATACCTGTAGAAAACTCTGGCCTAAAAAAGATATTTTTTGTATATTTTTTGTATATTTTTTTTTTGTATTTTTTAAGATGACATGAGATTCTTGCACTCGCAGGTAGAGACACACGCAGGTGCATCTGTGGTATTGCCTAGAACATCTGCATCTACAGAAAGGAAGGAAATGCACACAAGTTACTGAGGGGAGGGAGGGCGAGGAGGGAAAGGAGAACATTAAATTGTTTGCTTGATGAAACAAGAATTCATCTCCCACCGGGAGGTTTCAAAAAAACCGAACGTACGAACGAGGAACAGCTTTCGCTTTTCAGACTGGCTGCAAACAAGGATTTCCTGACGGTTTGGTTTATCGACGCGACACTTTCTAGCTACGGCGCGGACCCGAATCCCGACGGTCCGGACGATGTGTGTTCCTCCTGGACTTATAGCCTTGGCTAGTAACCTGTCACGAATGTTTCAGTTCATCTGTTATCAGTTTTCCTTTTAAATAATTAAAAAAAAATTGAAAAATTAAATTAAAGTCCCTCTAAGTTTAAAGGGACCACGGAAAACAGCTGCTAAGACTGTTGCTCCTTCCAGAACACATGCCCCCTTCCTCGAGCGGAAAGATCCTTCTCCACAGATAGCAAGAAAAAAAAAATAAAATA